CTGATGTCTTCCATGGGACTTGCATTGTGCATAGCCTGTAGGATAGCTAGCAGGGATCAGTAGGGATCCATATACAACAGTATCCTCTCTTACTGCCCTACACAAACACTGTGGGATGACTACTGTCTCCATGGGCACCAACCTAAAACTTCCAAAACTTTAACTTGGAAGCTATACCTTAAGTTAAACATTCCTGCAAAATACTGAATCAGTTGCTAAAAATGGTTGTAATAAAAATTGCTTAACAGCCTGCATCTGTCTGGCCGGGGCTGTAGATCCCCTAACTGGAGCGGGACGCAGCCGGGCTCGCTGCTGCCTCCAGTGAGGAATGTGGAGCTGGCAACACCCCCGCTGGAAAGCTGCGGCAGAGGGGTGTCCACCGGACACACAGGCATGGGGTGATGGTCTTGCTCCTGAGATGGAGCCTTGAGTGCTTAGCTGCCCCATCGGTGGTCCAGAAAGGTTGAAAAAGGCAGCAGGAAAGCGAAGCCAAGCCTCCTGAACACGTCTTGTGGAGCTCAGGGTTGCCTGTCGCAGAGCATTAGGCGTTTCCATTTTATTTATTTATTTATTACCTGGTTGTCAGTGATTTCACTTAGAGCAGTGGTTTTCCACAGCTGAGGGGTTCCATGCAAAGGCCAAAACACTTAAATGTGCTAATTGTAATGTGACAAAGACCCTAAAGGAGCTGATTACAAATAAATGTGTGAATGAAGGTAACTGGGGAACGTGAACATTTATGAACTGTGCCATTAGTGCAGAAATACTGATTAAGTTACTTTTAATACATTTTAAATGTTTCCCTTTCTTCCCAGGAATGCTTGTTTCTTATATTTCAGGAATGTTTGTTCCTTATATTTCAGTAATCACCTGGGGAAGAGTCTTCAGCTGCTGATGGACAGAGTGGATGAGATGAGCCAAGATATAGTTAAATACAATACCTACCTGAGGAATGTAAGCAAACAGCAGCAGCAGAAGCACCAGGTTGGTAATTCTGCTATCAGAAATATCATTTTAGTCTTATTTTGTACCAGGGCATGATGAAACTGATCAGAAGATGTTGGCCAAAGGCACTGTTTAAAATTGCAATATTCTGATCAGGGTATGGAGACTTTATTACTTTTTATTTGCTATTGCTGCATTTGATGCAGTATTATATCTAATTATAGAAGAATGCTGGTAAAATGGGGAAAAAAAAAAGCACCATGGGAACGATTTAAACACCTTGAAAGCAGAACACAGTTCACTTCATGTGGTAAATGAAGTTAGGCAATGACCTGTTTATTCTAGAAATACCTGCATGTAAAATATATTTGACCTCTTTAATCTAGCAGACTGAGAGACAAGAAGATCCGATATCTACAAAGTGAAAATCGACCAATCCAGTTTACAGATAAAGCTTTGGGGATATTGTTACACAAAGTAGCCAGTTATTAAAAGGAACATCTGTGATTCATGTGAAATACTTTATCACTATTTCAAAACTGTTTTTTTCTTTTCCTTTTTTTTTTTTAATCTTAAGTAAAATTGTGGTTTAAATGGAAGCTACTTAAAGAGACAATATGTGATCAGTGGTCTCTCCAGATTTTTTGATTCTTGGGGACACAGAATCTTGCTGCAGTTTTCTTGAGAAAACTTGCTATTTTTTTTCCTGCCTTCTTTGAATAAAAAGATGGTAACTAATGGTACTCACTTCAAAGCTTGTCTGTATAACAAGGGGATCTATTTACTTGGAAGCAGAGAGCAAAGTAGGTTCCGTGGTGTCTCGCCTATTTCTTTACTAACTATAACTGCTTTAGTAGTGGCTTGTTGCAGCATAGTTAGTGGTCTTAACTTTATTTTTAAAATGGAGCAATTGTGATTAAAAGCAAGCTTTTTCAATAGAGAATAATAGGCAGACTGCTGAGAAGTGAATGGGGTAATGCAAAGAAAGAAGAAAGTACATGAAATTCGCATACAAATATGGGCATTTTAAGATTTTATTTTTAACATTGTCCAAAAACTGTATTTGTCACTACTACTGGAAAAAAATTATTTAATTTCAGTATGCCACCAAGTATGAACTGTTTTCACATGCTTATGCGCAGATACATTTAAAAGAGAAAAAACACTCTGTACAATTTGGCCTGTTTATTTTAAAGATTTTCTTTTGTGTGTGTATTGAATGTGAGGCCTTAGAGGGCTGAAGCTTACAACTTTACATTTAGTAAGTATCCAATCCCAGCATTAAATTGACTGTGACACAGAGTGTGAAATCTCACATACAGTTTTTTGAATGTAGGCACTTCTGCAAGAACAAGTATTTATCCAATAGCTGAAAAGATTACCTATCTCTCAACTTACGAAGTTCGAGTCATGCACATGGAATAGTAAATTAATTCTTACAAATGTCCAGTTTAGTTTATCTTCTGGTAACTCACAGAGAAATGTTATCAATGTGGCAGAATATCTAAATAACTAGAATATTGAAAAGAACCTTTTTGCTTTTGGGAAGCGTTTTTGTTTCAACCACCATCTTGTTCTCAGGTTAATTTTTTTTTTAAAACTTGAAATAAAGTTCTCTTCCTCTATCACATTACTATTGTTTTGACTGCATAAAGTCAAATATTTCTAATCTTTTATATTTGAGACACTGACTTCTCAAGGTTTCATATTCTAGCTTTGTTTTCCTGTTGCAATTGGATATAAAGGAGCTGTGTACATGTCCTACTGTATGTACAGTATTCTGTACATATGTACAGAACACATTATTTATCTCCACAAAAAAAATCTTAGCGTAATTTTCTAGTGCATTACTTCTTGTTTTAGGTGCCAACTTGAAAAAGAAAAGCAATGCTTGCCATCCAGTGAACTGAAGTAATTGAGTTGCATTTGGGGTTATTGCTTGGAGCTTCAGTTACTTTTATCCTTAGCGGTTTGATTTCTTGGATAAGGGGGTGCTGTTTGTTTGAGGTTGGCTTGGTTACGCACCCCATGTGGGTAAATATGATTTTTAAAACAAGCTTATTGGTGAGGTAAAGGACATTTGAATAGAAAAAAATGTAACTGTTCTAAGTCCTGTTGCATTCTCTTTCTGTTGCTTTGTTTCTAGTACCAGCAGAGACGTCAGCAAGAAAATATACAGCGTCAAAGCCGAGGAGAGGCGCCTCTTCCTGAAGAGGACATCAATAAACTCTTCAAACCACCACAGCCCCCTCCAAGAATGGAGTCTTTGCTTATTGCAGGTAACGTTCTAGAAATCTATTTCAACTCATAGTTCCTCTTTTCCCATATTAATGCTACCTTGGGAAATGCTACAGTTGTTACCTTTGGAAGCTTTTTTTTTTTTTTTTTCCCCCCACCCCATTACATCCTGATGCCCAAGAGGTCCTTGGTGAAGGAAGGAGCAACCAGAGCCCTATTCAGAGGAGATGAAGTGAGACTAGAAAGCAGAGCAGGAGAAATGCCCTAGAGAGCAGGTTTCTCTGTGCAAATGACCTCAGTGGCTACTAGTCAGTGAGCTGTTCTCATCCCACACAGCCTGGCTCTCCCACTACGCCAGAAATTATGGGGTTATTCAGACAAGAGGCAGGAATAAGCTGTTTAAGCCGGAACTATTGAATCAGTTGTCTGCCTTGTTATCTGCTGTCCAAAGTTACTGCTAAAATCCCTAAATCTTAGCAGCTTTTTGCCGCAGCTGCGAAAATTTCACTTTTAATTCCATACAGATTTGGGAAGAGGCTGGGGCTGCTCACTGTAGCTCCATAGCCAAACCAAAGGAAACCAGCCTCCCCCCAATCAAGGTGTCTGAAAACATAAGCAGGAACAGAGCACAGGAGGTGGTGTTTTCCTCCAACTCTCTGATATGCTGCATTAGGTAGTTCGGTTTAAAAAAAACAACAACAAAAAACCCAGCTCCTTTGCTATGTCTTGGGAAGGGCAAATGTTTGGGACCTCACAATGGCAAGAAAGAACAGAAATCCCAGATATGCTCCAAAGTAATTTAAGTTTGGAATATATGATGGAAAAGGAGATTGCTTAGCTATAGTAGGCTTCTTAATCACTATTAATTATCGTAGTGGTTTAAAAAATGGATTCTAGAGTATACTGGGTATCTAGAGATACAGCAAGGTTCTTATGTTTTATACAGAATAAGAATTAAACTAAGGTCCTAGTAGTTCAATGTTAATAAAAGATTGAGTGATTTGGCATTAAAAGGTGGATTTGACCTGCTGCTTTTCAATTTTGGATTGATAAGATTTTAACAAGTGATTTTTTTAATAGTTTTGCTAGAAAGAATGAAGAAAGAATGCTAGAAAGAATGTTCTTGACTGCAAGACTCCAGAACGCATAATATAAATTTACTATTTTAATGTAGTTTTTTACCAGTTAATGAATGCTAGCAGCATTAAAGTATTTAGAAATTCAACTTCAGCACAGTTTAAAAATACAAAAGAGGAAGTGCATACGCGTATGGGCAAACATATACGTTTTATGATAGTGATAGTTTAGGACGAATCATCTCTTATCAGAGAAGAAATTGAAAACAATTATACTTAAAGGAAAAAAAATAGCTTTCAGCCAAAGTACTTTCTCCATTTGTTCTTTTCCTGTAATCCAGGGAGGAATTGAAAGCATCCACTTCAATTCAGATGAAGAGAGTTTGCGGATAAAGAATAAAACTTTGCTCTTTTGTCTCAGAGGCATTTAAAAACTTCTCAAATAGATCATTAAATTGGGAGTTTATTGGCCTTCTAAACAGTCTTAATTTTGATTAAAGTGGCTTCATGTTTTGCTATTCCTGGCTAACAAGGGAAATAACTTAGCAGTACTTGTATAAAGATGTTTTGATGGGCATGTTTGATTTGTATTGCACTGACAAGTCTTCACACTGTGATGATTTTTGAAATGCCTAATAAAGTGAAATATTAGGTGAGAAAAAAAGCTAGCAAGATGTCAAATGAGAGCACCACCGTTTTCAATCCAGTAGTGCATTGAAAATTTATTTATTGCAGATATTTTCATAGGGACAGCAGATGCACGAGAACTGAACTCAAATTCAGCCTCATATTTTTAGGGCAGCTAAATTTGAATGATTAATTAATGTGATTAATCTTCCAATACAACATGAAGAATTGTTTATTCTTTTTTATTATCCAGTGTCTTTTCAGAAGTTGCACATAGTTGAATTGTAGGGTAGTTTGGGTTTTTTTTGAGCCTATCAATTTACCTATTCTGATGATTTAACTTACTCTTCTTTTGAGAGTACTGAAAATGTGAAATTTCCGATGCATAGAAGAATAGCCAAGCTGTTTCGGGTGCTTCTCTACATAAATGCTATATGATTGATGCATTTTGGCTTTTTAAAAATCTTGTCCTAGGATTTTGGGATGAGTTTGACAACTGACAAAAGCTTCTTCTTTTCTATTGACAGGTCAAATTAATACCTACTGCCAGAATATTAAGGAGTTCAATGCACAGAACCTGGGCAAACTTTTTATGGCTCAGGCTCTTCAAGATTACAACAACTGAAGAAACTGTGGTATAAGCTTCATCAGAAAGGAAGTTATTTACAGTTTTAGGCTGTTCATGATCCTCTTGAAAATTTGGTATATTTGGAAAAGAATCTGTAAATCCAAATTACCTTCATTTGTGTAGAACTCTCCTCTAAGAAAAAAATAAAGACAAATTTTAATGATACTTTAGTATTTCCTCATTTGTTAGCCATATTGAACTGGAATTTTCTGTGGTCACTCAGGTTTACTAGGTAGGTTACTCAGGTTCGTGGTCATTTAAGTTTAGTTATAGCAAATAGTAAAAGTCTTATTTAGTTTGGAATCTGAAATAAAAGATCAGTACAAATGTTCAAGATAGCAGACTTCAGAGAAGAATCACAGAATCACAGAATGGTTGAGGTTGGAAGGGACCTCTAGAGATCACCTAGTCCAACCCCCTGCTCAAGCAGGGACAAATCTTGCGATTTTCCAGTTTGGGGTGAGAATTTATAACCATAATGTGCCTATCATTTGTAACAGTTTTTTTTTTTTTTTATCTATTGGGACAGTCTGGTATAATGAAACTTCTACACTACAAATATTTCTTAAACTTTGCAGTTGGAACATTGAAAATTATTGCACTATTATATGGAGGCTGATCTCCATCATACCATGTTAAACTATTTTTCACCTTTCATTGCCACCACCAGATGGATTTAACTCCACTCATGTTACTGAAGTTGTCACAAAAAGAAAATGTAGTAGTTTAACTGCAGTAGCCAGTGTAGTGTGGTGCAGATGGACACTCTATTTACTCCACATTGACTTTGCCATCTGGATGTGCCTTTATTCCTTAACTGGGTAGACTTGACTTTTTTAAACTATCATGTTCACTTAAGATTTTATTACATGCCAGCTCATGCATCACAGTGTCATCCCATTTTAGTTCTTATGTCTGTCTTGTATGTTACTGTGTGGATGAGTCCCGGGAGCCTAAAACGGCTGGAGGAAAGTGGTCTTTTAGAAAAAAAGGCATCGTTCTCTAAATACAAACCTAGCAGAGAAAATTTCAACCTCCAAGTTGGATGTTTTGGAAGGTCAGAAGTATGTTAAAACTGGAAGTTTAGGCTAGGACTTGTTTTTTCAGTCTTAACTGTAGTGATTGCAGTACTTACGTAAATATATGTGCAAATTTTGTTCAGTTTTTAAGTACCTGGCAAATCGCCAATCTGATCTCTTGCCCTAGAAACTTTGGGCACTCTTGCATTGCCTTTCATACAGTGAACTTATCTGAAATCAGAGATCTGCCAGGTATCCCAGCACCATGCTGTATGATTGAGTTTCATTTCCTAAACAAATAAAATCCAAATAGTGTTAGTTTTCTAGTTTTCTGAAGAACCAAGGGAAACAAGGCATAAAAGCAGGAGCAGATAATTAGAATAAGATGAGGCATTTAAGGTAGAAAAAACTGTCTTTTAGATGCACTTTTTCTAGATAAACTGAGAATAGAAGCCTGACTCTGTTGTCACTGTGTAGAAGGAAGCAGGAGCTATATTTATTAGCAAGTTTGCAAAGGCTGTCTGAGCAACAGACAATATATTTGACAAAATATTTGAAATAGGTTAAAAACAAGTTGTGTGTTTTTGAATCAGAGCTCTTTAAGAATTGAGGGGTTTAAGTGTGAGGAGGAGGTGGGTAATAGTCTACTCTTGCGTAGCGACTGAGGGACCTGGGGTTACTTAGTTTGGAAAACAGGAGGCTCAGGGGAGACCTTATCGCTCTCTACAACTACCTGAAAGGAGGTTGTGGTGAGGCAGGGGTCAGTCTCTTCTCCAGAATAACCACCACTAGAACAACATCGAACCAGGCTGCCCAGGGGAGCCTGGAGTCGCTGTCTCTGGCAGTGTTCGGGAAATGTGTAGATGAGGTTCTTAGGGACATGGTTTAGCAGGCATGGTGTTGGAGGGTTACAGCTGGGACTCGATGATCTTGAAGGTCTTTTCCAACCGTAATGATTCTATGATTCTACTATGCAGAGTTTCACAAGATCTGTAGACTTCATGTAATTACATGGGATGTGCTAAGTGTCAGTGAGAGTCTGAAAGAGGGGG